GAGAGAGGTGGCTTACAAGCGCGTCATGAGCACGGTCTAGTAAGGTGGAGATGCCTGAATGAAACGCTTGAGTAAATGATATGTGACAACTCACACGTGTGAAAAAATTCACTGGAATTCTTGTTTGCTGAAGAAAACATGTCGGCCAGAAAATGATCTCGGCTGAGGAATTCTTAAGTCGATGTACAGAAGGAAGTACCGATGTAGGTTCCATCATCTCAGAATGCTGAGGTAATAGAACCTAGGGGGCAGTTGTGGGGATATATTTCTGAGTACCAACACGTAGCAAGGTGACGCCGATGTGTCAGTCGATGTGCCACGTGTCAGGGTCATAACGCCGAGGTTATCTCGGCGTTGTCGAAGTTATCTCCGAAGATATCGGTATCCGAGATAAACGGATAAGGGACAAGAGTCCTAGAATAAAGAGGAGATTTAGCCAAGATAAGGATAAAGTTCTTGGAGAGTTTATCTTTATCTCCTGAAGAGTCCAAGGTAAGTACTGAATTGGAGTCCACAGAAGTCAGGCTTCTAATGGGACTAGGATTAAGTAAACTATAAAAGAGAGGCACTTTCGTGGGTCTAAGGTACGCAATTTATGCTTTGAATAATGAGTTTAGCACTTGATTTATCTTTGAGAAATATACTGACTTGATCGTCGGAGTGCCCCCGGGTGGAAGAGCCACCGCCGGAGCCGTCTCTTTCTGTTACAGGTTAACTGAAGCCATCTATTCTGCCGGTGCTCTCTACCTGATTACTAAACGGGCAGTGTGACCAGAAAATCACTCACACAAAAACAAACATATAATAATATAATAATAGAATTATTATATAATATACATTTATATGCATAATATATATATATATATATGAAGCAGGTCCTTGTGTATGTGTTGTGGAATTAATTGTGTGAGCCTTTCTTACTTGGGTGGAGAGTGGATGATGTTGGTATCCTTGTTTTGTGCATGGTCAATTTTCTTACCGTCACTAATCATGAAAGCTTTGTGTGCCAGATCTCCTATGTTTTAGATACGGAAGACTATTTCTTCCGCTTGAAAAGGAGAAGGAATTTGTCAGCTGGCAGATCGTCGTGCCAAAATATTTAGTATTTTAAAACAATTTGGCCATAATGGTGAAGGTTGGGATTAAAATTCAAATTACAAATCTCTTACTGAGGATTCTATGAGAAACACATTCTAATTGTCATCATCGGGTAATTAAAAAAAAGCGCTCAAGTCTTAGGGCCGGTCAAAATTAGGGTGTCTACAATGGGCAATCCGAAAGAACAATCCAGACATTGGAAGACATGTTACATGTATGCGTGTTGGACCTCAAAGGTAATTGGGATGAACAACTACCTTTAGTGGAATTCGCCTGTAACAACAGCTATTAGGCAACCATTGGAATGGCGTCGTACGAAGCTCTATATGGAAAGAGATGTCGATCACCTCCATACTAAACTGAAGTCGGGGACGAGAAACTGTTAGCCCCTGAGATCGTGCAAATCACAAGTGAGAAAATCCAAGTCATCCAATAGCAAATTCGCACTGCTCAGAGCTGCCAGAAAAGCTATGCAGATACACGGAGACGGGACTTGGAATTTTAAGTAGGGGATCATGTGTTCCTCAAGATCTCACCAATAAGGGGAGTTATCCGATTTGAAAAGCGAAGAAAGTTAAACCCACATTACATCGGGCCATTTGAGGTACTAAAAATAATTGGTCTTGTAGCTTATCGCCTTGCACTACCACTTAAACTATCCAATGTCCACAATGTGTTTCACGTTTCAATGCTTCGATGGTATCTTCGAGATTCAGAACATGTTGATTATGAGGACCTGGAAGTTCAAGAGGATCTCTTTTATGAAGAGCAACCAGTGCAGATTCTCAATCGTCATGATCAAGTTCTCCAAAACAGGACTATATCGTTAGTAAAAGTCTTATGGAGAAATCATCATATCGAAGAAGTTACGTAGGAAACGGAAAGTCAAATGCGAGCCAAATACCCACACCTCTTCGAAAATTAAGGTACGTCAAGTTTTGGGACAAACTTCTTTTTAGGAGGGGAGAAATGTGACACCCTGAACGTTTAATTAAATACCACATAAATATTTATAACTATATATAATTATGGTTGTATGTGATAATATATTATTAGTGATAATATATTAAAAATAAAAATATATAATAAATACATAAATAATAATAACAATAATAATAAAATAAATATAGGGAATAAAGATAATAATGATAATAATAATAGTAATATTAATAAGCCTACTAATGTGATAAGGCCAAACAGTTACTTGGCAATTGATTAGTAGATTGTAATCTCTCCAGGAGAGAAGGTTAGATGCCGCCTGTACCATCTAGCTTTAGATCGAGTGAGTCACCATGTTTAGGCATCATGAGTTTGTATGCATATAAGAAGTTTTGGAGGGGAGGACTGCGAAAGAAGTATTGTGGGGAGGGGGGGGGGTGGGGGGGACTACGAAAGAAGTAAAGGAACGAGGTAAAAGGAGAGACAAAAATAAAAAGAGACAAAAAGGAGGAAGAATAGCCTCGAAAGCAAACAAAAATAGTAGGGAAATGGTAAGAATTAATATGGATGTGAGTTATATTATACCTTGAGTTACCATAATATATTTTACATATGTTTTGACTTACCATAATTTATTTTATACAAGTAATATTTTATAAATTATATTAATATTTCAATTACGTTGATTAATTTCTGAATTCTATTTGTTTAAAATGAAACTCGTAAATATATTTGTTTAAATTTTAGAAAGTATTTGACTATGACCTTATAAATAATTATGTTTTGTAAGTACCACCACAGGAGTCCCACGCCTTGGGGGACTTAAATAACCATTGACTTCTATTTGGCCACTTTGTGGTCCTCTGTTTGTTATGGATCCATTGACCTCTATTCTGACTATCACTTCAGTGACCTCTGTTCTGTTCTATTCTATACCGTAGTTATGATTATTTATTTACATAATTTCTGTATGTCAGTTTCTACCACTTTAAATCATTCGTTTATTCAAATTAAGTTCTATTACTATTTTAGTTTAAATAACTACCCATGCTATTTTGTATTCTCTATAGTCTTGGCATAATATTTCTCACTCTGCTATATACTTATAGCTGTTATCTTTTTAGGTGACGAGATGTACGGAAGATCCGTAACCTCATGTAGTAGAACCTAAACAAGAATTAATCTGATCCATTATTTTGTTTTTTTTTTCCTTTTCTTCCTTTTATTTTTATTTTTTTTTACTGAAGGCCGGTCATTGCATAATAAAAACATAAATAAATAAAAGCCCTTTAGATGTATTTTCTCTTATTAAAATAGTAGAATGAAGTAAATTTTTTATTTAATTATTTTTATTTGCCTCCGCCTACGCCATTTAATTTGTTACAAATAAATTAGTAAGTTGCGATTCCAACTAAGCCCTTAGGATTGGGTCGTGACATTTATCCTACAATGTAAATACATAATCTCAACACAAGAAAAATACAAATAGTAGGAAATTAAATCCAAATTGAACTCCTCAGTTCCAGAAGTTTCTTCTTCATTTTAGACTTATTTCTTCAACTTGAATTTTGTAGCCTCCAAAAGCACAGTGATAAAATTTCATGAATTCTTCCGAAGTTTCTAGCTTCTTCTCTTCTTTAAAATTCAAATTGAATTCTTCTTCTTCAATCTAAAACTCTTTGGAACCTTTTTATCCAAACTCAAATTGAGTTTGATTTCCAACAGAAATATTGCCTCAAATACGGATTAATTTAATTAAGAAAAATACTATACAAACTAATAAATTTTATAATTTTTTTATAAAATTTAAAGTTTAAAATATGACTTACTTCAATCTAATGACGTGATCTGTGTCACATCAATAAAAAAAATTATAAAAATTGTTAGTTTATACAATATTATTATTTAATTAGGCTCTTAAATTATGAACTAATAACCCTTTCTAAAGTTGTCCATCAAGACTTTTTTTCTCAGGAAGTTGCAGAATACATCTGAGTTTTGCCCTTAAAAATATTAGCAGAAATTAGGTCACCCACCCCATTGATGAATTTAATTATATAGATGCAAACGAGGTCTAATGTCTGCCAGTTTGACCTGAATGCTAAGGACACGTTTTCAAATCCTCAAATTTTTGTCCAAAATGTGGAATCTGACCTCAAAACTATGACCATCACTCTCACTTAATAATGGCATCCAAGAAATCACACACCTAAGCAAAAGTTTGAAAAAAAACATAAAGATTATTATGCCGGTTGCAACACTTTTATTACCTTCACAATTTATCAGGTGGAGATGTTTGATTAATAATATTGACATGTTAAATGTCGTAACATCATTTTCGGAAGACAAGAATGAAGAGACAGAACGAATTTCTCATTTCAAATTTTTTTTACTCAATTGTTTAAGTATATTCAATGAGAATACAAACTAGGTTTTATGTCAAAGTGAAATTATCAAACTAAATCAAGGATAAAATGATTCATTTAAAAGGAAATAGACCATTTTAAATTATTAGTCAATCTCTCAACAATCTAAGTAGAATAAATGGATTGTTTTTCTTTGATTTCAATTTAATTTTTAAAGCGATGTTATCAATTGGACTAAATCAACACACTGTGAAAAATTTTAAAATAAAATTGATGTAATTAAAATTATAAAGATCAAACTAATACAAGAGTCAAACTATTATATATGTAATATATATATGGGTGTAATTTGTCAATAAAACAAGTAATAAATCATATTCCTAGGTTCCTAACCAAACCAAACAATTAAATTGCATTGACTAGTGTTATTAGTAATGGCATTCTGGAAAATTATAAAATTCTCAATCCTTTTCTTTAATTTTTCTCATCCAAACATAACTTAAAAATAATCAAATAGCTTTTTCGTCTATGATGTCTTCATGGAAAAATATACATATATATAAAGAAAAGAAATAGATCGAAATAACATTAAGGATGAGAACACAAGGCTTGTTTGGTTGCAAAGAATACAGAGAGAAACAGAAGCAAATTTAGGATTTACAATCACACTAAAATCAAACTTCAACAGAATCAAAACGTTCTTTCCTTTCTTCTCTCTTTTGGGCAACCAAACACACCACATAACCCCCCAAAAAAACAAAAAACAAAAAAACATAGTAACTAAAAGTTGGATCCATGAAGGTTTAGAAAATAAACCCAAAAAGCTTGATTCATTTCTGAGTCCTTTTGGTGGTGATTTCTTCATGAAGAATCTGAAGCAAGACAGTGCTCTTGCATTTGGGGCACTTTGGATCATCCTCAGACAACATAACATACATGAGACACTGAGGGCATCCCACAAGCATCATTGTTTTCGCTTCCGGGCTGCTTGGATAGCGAAAACAGCGGTGGTGGTGGTGATCGGGGCTGAGCTCCAACGACGACACGCACGAGCTCGGAGGAGACAACGAAACTGATCTGTTCGTTGGCGACGATGCTGCTTGGAGCTGTGGGTATGGCCATGGAGGAGACAGGTTGAGCTTCAAGTCAAGCTTTGGAATGCTGTTGGCCTTGTGATTCATTTTTATGTAGAATCTGAAAAACAATCATAAAAAAAAAACAAAAAAAAAAAACAAAAAAAAATAAAAAATAAATGAGATAATCGTATAGGCATTTATGCAATGTAATTTTGGACTTTCTATATTGTTGTTATTCATTAATATATTAACTGATATATTACATATCACTGATACTGATACGGATTCTAATACCCATATTTAGAATTATGAGTTGGTGGAGAAAATGAATGGAACAGTGAAATGAAAATTAAGAAGATGAACAAAATAATAATTTAAATACTTTTTTTTTTTTTTTTGATGAACAAGTGGAAGAGGCAATCGTACTTGTCCAATTCAGTAGAGGAAGAGAGAAGAATGGGATAGTTTGAGAGCTGAACGGATGATCTGATGACAGAAACCAAGTCCAAGCATCAAGATGAGTTTGGTATGTTTGGTTTTTGGACTGAATGGACGTTATATATATAATGGCAAGGAGAGAGAGAAATTGACAGGTTTTTTAGCAGCAACGATTCAGAGTATTAATTTTGATGTTTTAATGGAGCACTAATAACATGGTAAGGAAAAAAAAAAATCAAGATCAAAACATCACATCACAATAGGTGGAGCTTACTGTCAGTTTATTAAAACTAACTTTAAAATTCAAAAATTAGAGTTTCAAGACATTTTTCTTTTTTTAGTTAGGACTGAAGGTTGGTGTAGATATTATATGAGAGAGAGAGAGAGAGAGAGTGAGTGAATGGGGGCATTGAAGTGAATTGAACTGAACTGAATGCAGAGAAGAGAGATTTGGTAGATGATGAGTGTAAATTCAGTAATGATATCATCTTCTTAAATACCGGTTGGATCGTATATTGAATTTTTATCCTTGTGGTGTTGATACATGAGTTTTTATTTTTTTTATATCAATACATTCCAATATATAGGAGTATTTTATTTTTACAACTAATAATTTCGATATTGTTGCTCTGCAATTGAAATTGATATAAACCATAGATCTCCCAATTTGACAATTTTGCATTCACTGATTTCAGCTTAACATAGGGATAAAAATAACTAGGGCTTGGTTTGGCAATCACTTAATATAATAAAACAGTCAAAAAATTATTATAAAAAATTCAATTTTCATCTCTAATTTTTTTTTGTATATCTTTTCGTAAAACAGTTAAAAAACTAATTAAAATAGCTAATTTTCAAAACAACCCTTATTATTTAAAAAAATGACATTACTACATCACTCACATATGAAATTTTTAAGGAAAATTATGCAAATAGTCCCTATAATTTACACGATGTGTCAATTTGGTCTTTGTAATTTCAATTTGCTCGATTTTGCCCCTTAATTTAACGGATTGTATCATTTTAGTCCAATAAATAACAGTTCTTAAATTAATTTAACGAAAAATCAAACAATGTGTCAATTTGGTCCTTGTATTTTTCACAATGTGTCAATTTAGTCCCTGGCAAAATCAAAAAAATTAAAACTACAGGGACCAAATTAACACATGGTGTAAAGTACAGGGACCAAATTGACACATTGTTTGGCCTTCTGTTAAATTAACTTAATAACCGTTATTTATTGGACTAAAATGGCACAATCCATTAAATTAAGAGACAAAATCGAACAAATTGAAACTACAAGGACCAAATTAACACTCGTGTAGACTACATGAACTATTTACATAATTTATCTAAATTTTTAATATATAATTTTTGTTTCGAAAATTATTTTTCTCATAAATTTTGGCGGCAAATGGCAAGAACAGTCTTATCTCAAGAGGGTAGGAGAGAGAAATTAATGGAGTAAAGATTGCAACAACGAAGTACTTGGGAAATAGGAGTAAATACTACAACTACAAAGAGCAGGAAGCCTTCATTCATTGTTTGCTGTAACAGTTATTATTTAAAAAAGCTAGTATTTTGAGAAGATGGCTAAATATTAATTTTTTAATTTTTTTTGATTTTTTAAACTTTTTTTTTTGTGAAAGAGGAAGTAGATTAAAAATTGAAAAGTAAACTTTAACCCACTTTTCAAAATAAGCCTTTATCATAGTGAAAAGAAACAAATATAAATTTGGATAATATAACAATAATGATGCTGAATTTTATTTTATCTATTTGTATATCATTTTTTTTAATCTATTTATTTATTTTTGTTCTTTCATCCTAGCTTCTTCTTTATCTCCTATCTTTGTCTTGTCGTCTCTGTCACTAAGTTGAAAATATATATTTTTTGAGATTAATCAATATTGTTCAATAGATTCTTCGTGCGCAAAATCATGTGTGCAATGTGTCCTAGGCATGCATCATGCTCTTGGGGGGAATTTTGGTAACTTCAAAATGTAAAAAAAACATTTTCAGATATAAATAAATAAATAAATTTTACATGGGCTACTATGGGCATTATGATATAATGGTGATGTAATGATGTTCTAATAAAACATAAATAAATAAATATTTTTCTCCCAAAAATAAAAATAAAATAAATTGGTGCCACGTGGTGGTCCAAACAATAAATTTGGTCAGCTAGTTTGCCCAATCAAAGTCATTGTATTGCTTGTCCTTCCAATCATGCACTTGAATTCATTTGTGCAATTATATTTACTGAAACCAAAAACCTACCCTGCAATATTATGTATATCTAATCCATATATATATATATATATATAAGAAAAAAAAGATTTTTAGTGAGAAGCATCCTCAGCTCTAAGGTGTCAAATTAAAATTTTTAATTTTTTTTATTTTAAAATTAATTAAAAAAACCTTCTATTAACTAGCTCTCATTTAAGCATTAAAAAATATTTAGGCATCGTTTCGGAAGTGGATTAACTTTTTAGTTTTTTTGATTATTTTAGTCTTGGACTAAAAAGTCTGATTTTAGAAGGGCTTTTGACTTTTTTGTGAATGTAAATGTGATATTTTGTCTTATTAAATTAAAAAGCTTATTTTATTTTTTGTGGCTATTTTAGCTAAAAAAAAATCCTCAAACCCAACTTCTCAAACATAGGCTCAATATTCCTTGATTTATGACTTTCGAAAGGAAGTAATTTAATCTGTTTCAAATTTTAAATTTGAGGGCCAATAAATATGACAAATAATCTATTAATTTAAATTTAAAGTTGGCACAATATAAATTTAAAATTATAATACAAATTCAAATTCAAAGTACAAATTCATAATTATAATATACATTTGATTTTAAATTCAAAATACAAATTTAAAATTTTAATTTACGTTTAAATACAAATTTAAAATAATCTATTGATTTATGTTTGATTTTATGAGTTTTAAATTCAAATTCAAAATTATCATATTATCTCATAATTTTTTGTATCATCTTAAATTTTACATTTTTTATAATTATATAAATATTTTTAAAAACCCGTACTGGCTAACTCATCTGTTGGTTTTTTTTGGCTTTCGAAGGTTATTTTCTTAATTGTGAGCGTTCCAACAAGGATCAATTAGTCCTTACAGAATGTTAATTGCCAACCAATTATCAGACGATTGTGTTTTAGTTCTTTCAGCCTCAATGAAGAGGACTTTTTACTGGTGGATTTGTTTAGGAGAATTAAGCAAACAATGATTAAATGAAGAACAGTTGTAGTATTCATTAGGGGTGGGCATAGGGTTATCCGACCCGCCCAACCTGCCCTACCCTACCCGACCCGCAGACCTTTGGGCAGTTTCGCAAACATGTTAGGGTAGGGTGCGGTTTGGATTATGGCTGAATTTCGGGTTGCGGGCGGGTTGCGGGTTTGAACCGCACCCGCCCAACCCGCCTGCTTACACATATATATATATATATTTTTTAAATGTGTGAATTTTGAACTGTTGATTTTCATCTTTATTCTACAAACAAAAGTAAAAAAAAAACCCTAACAATTCATTCTCATCTCATCTCACACATTTGCACAGCTGGAGCTTGGAGGAGAGAGTTGAGCTCCCTCTCTCATCTCATATCAGTCTCTCTCTCGTTTTTTATCGTCGATCGACCTCTGGTCTGTCTGCTCATCCTTAACTTTGCTTCCTCATCGCCGATCGATCTCTGCTTTCTCATCGCAACTCTGTGCATGCGCAGCTTCACTTCGAATCTCACTCTCTTCGTGTTTCGCAAGATCGACTCTGCTCAGGTAAGACTCGGTCTCTGTTTTTTTTTTTTTTTCTTCTTCTTTGAATTTGTTGATGTTGAATCTGTTTTTTTGATTCACAAGTAAGCTTCACTTCGACTCAGCTTCACTTCGAATCTGTTTTTTTTTTTTTTTGAATTTGTTGATGTTGAATCTGTTTTAACGATGATGATAAGCAACGCCAGTAAACAATGAAGATGGTGGAGATGATGAACAACTGTCGAGTTGGTGAAGAGAGAGAGAGAGAGAGTGCTGTAAAAGAAAGAGAAGAAATAGAGGGTATAATGGTCAAATAAAATATTCAAATAACAAATTTTATTCTTCATACACGACTTTATAATCATGAGGGGTTTTGAAAGTATTAAATTTTTTTTTTGTCCCTTTAACGAGAAAAGGAAATTAGGAGGGGTTTATGGCCAAATTTCCCAATATTTAATAGGAATATACTTTGATTTGATTAGGATTTTTGGAAAGAGAGAAAAAAAAAAAAAAGAGAAAAAGAGAAAAAATTATTGTCAGGATGAAGTGGCAGAGGAAACTACTTTAGTTTAAATTTCAAAAAATCAGTACTGTATTTAATGGTCTTGGACTCTGTAATTAGATTGATTATAAATTCCCAAATTAATTTACTTTGTTTTTTTAGCTACAGATGCTGGCTTATGTGTTCTTGCAGTGAATTTAACTTTATTTTTTTAGCTACTGATCTGCTGGTTTATGTATATTTGTGATTTTGCATCACTTCATTGTTGATCATTCTGTAAGCTCTTTTACTTTACCTAGCGGTAATTAAATGTGTTTAATTGTTTTGTTAGGAGGGTCTTAGTAATGGAATATATTGATGGAATCCCAATTCTAAGGCTTGGAGATGAAATAGCTAAAAGAGGCATAAATCCTGGTGGTAAGATCGCAGCTGCGGCAAAGAGGTAAGCCCATTGATTACCTCAGAGAGTATGAAGTCCTTTTCTGCCAATTTTTTTCTTATCATAATCCCCATTTTTATGCAAAAAGTTCATATCATCTACTTTAAATCCATAACTTACTAGCTTATATCTTAGTTTATTCTTTTAAGCTGTAAGACATTTTGGGCAGTTTTAATATGTTATTGTAGAAGTGTGAGAGAGGTATTCAAACACTGGTTGTTGAAACTTCAGATGACAACCAATCTAATAACTGGTTGGCAGTCCAATGTAGTATAAAAATGAAAACATAGTAATCAAAATGATGACATATTTAAAAAAGTTTGAGAATCCCACCATGTTTAGTTTCTTGTGATTCCAGCATTTTGCTCTTAAAAAGTATTTTAATGTAATTAACAAAACAAATGCATGGAATTAGAATTGGAATTAAAAAAAAAGGTTTAAAAATAAATTTTTGAAAAAAAAGTTCAATCCGCAAACCGCCCGCAACCGCCGCACATC